GTAATGGCAGTTACTGAAGCTTAATTTTATTTATATTTAAAGAGCCACAAATGGCTAAGAGTTATGATAGCAGACAGCAAAACCGTCAGTCATTTTTGTTAGGGTTACTGCACTGATGAACAATGAAAACAATATGCTTTAGCCCTGAATGGGTATACCTCAATTTTTCGGAACTCATCTGGATTAAATATGAAATTTCACTTCTATAGAATAAAATCTCATTGTATATGTTTATATGATTTATTTACATTAATTAATTAATTATTTCATAGAGAATCCCCTGAGAAATTCCTATGTGGACCTAAGTCTGGATGGTTAAAGAATTGGGCCTAAAATATGGTCAGTATTGCAAAGGAAAGGAGAGGTCATGGGACTCTCCAAAGATTGGTTCTGGAAGTGGAATAAATCTTTAGTGGTGAACTTGTAGACGCTCAGGGATCGGCTGAAGGGGAACAACTTTTTGTCAGTGGAGTATTCCCAGCGTTCCATAAGTCAGGGGTGGGAAGTGTTGAGCTCAGTACTTGTAGGACCTGCTCTGCCTCGGAAGCACATTTATAATCTTCCTAATAGCTTGCTGACATCCATGTAAATATCAGTGTGCAAACAGCAGCCACTACCAGCTTCCTGTGCTTTTCAAACACGACCTGTGACTAATGTGGGCTTTAAAAATAACGACTATTGTGGCATCTGGGCACTGTCACCTTCACTGGCTCCTTCCTCCATGCATATAAAAATAAGTAAAAAATTAAAATCATATTTCACTACTACTGCATGTAAAAACAAATATATTAACATCATATAGGAAAAATATTTTCTTAACTTAAAAGTTCATTTTTTTTCCTCCTCTAATTTTAAAAGAAAGGAAAACATTTTCATGGGCTCCTAAATGTAGTATGAACTTGCTTTGCCTAATGGATACATTGACCTTTTAGGGACGACTTTATATTTGTCACTGGCTAAAAAGGCCTATTCTTTTATGCAAAAACTGAAAAACATGTATTTGTCATAGCTGGTGTTCAATAAATATTAACTGATGAAAACATGCAGAGATATTAGACCTTTCTTTATCAAATGTGAATATTTCTCTGCCCTCCTCCCATGTCCACTTTGAATCTCTATAAGTTTGATCCTGAGAGTTTGGCCCACAGACCAGAGGCCTGGATAGCACTGAAAACTTGTCAGACATATAGCTATCTGCCGCTTTCTAACACTAAATCAGAATCAGCATCTTAACAACTTTCCAGGTAAACCATGTGCACATTATAGTGAAGTGCTGCTCCCCTGTGAATTCATCCAGACCATTCAACATCACTGAGCCATAGATGGGCTGATTTCCATCCATGACATTGGGGGCTGGCCTTTGCCCTTCTCCCGTGCGAGAAATTTAGTTCCTTTAGCCCAGCTGTTCCCAACTGTGATAGTTAATTGTGGTGACAACGTGAACGGATTAAGAAAAGCCTATCTGATTAGTGGAGCATGTTTTGGTGTGGCTGGGTGATTGACTTGTAAGCTGCAAACTGAAGGGGAAAACCTAGCATGGATGTGGGTGGCACTTGCCACTAGGCTTGTGGTCTAGATGAAATAAAAAGAGAAAGGAGAAGGAAGTCTGCCCTTTTTGCTGTTTTGGAGGAGCTCAGGTCTTCACCATCACCTCTGGACATTTATCTTTAGACTTCTGGTGCAGACTCTTTAACCTCTTAATGCAGACTCTTTGGCTTTTTGATACAGACTTGTACCAGACTTTGTAGTGAGCTCTAGACTTTTGACTGGATCTTTTGACTATCTAGTGCACAGATGGCATATATATATATGTATATATATATAATTTAAAAAAATCTCTTATTCTTTTGATCCTGTAGGTGACCATCCTAAGCCATCTATTTACCTACTTTGTAAATTATCTATCATCTATCTATCTATCTATCTATCTATCTATGTATGTTAAGGAGCTTAAAAACAACTGAGCCCCATCCCTTGGGGATTCTGAAATAACTAGCTTGATTGGGATCTTGGGATTCAATTTTTATAAAGCTGCTCAGTGCTACTAGTGTGTAGCCAGGATAAGAACAACTATGAGCCTTTCCCTGAGAGATGTGTATCCTGGTTTTGATCATGATGACCCCTTTTTTCTGTGACCCTGACCTTTCTAGGCTGAACAACCACATGTACAATCCACAGCTACTGACTGACATGCTGTACTGATTACCTTGCAACTCCAAAGTGTCCTAATACTCCATGTTCTGAAATATTGACTGCCACCATCTCCTGTACCCTTATTTTCTTCACAGTGATGGTATATGCTTTTCTTATGCTTATTTTACAGATGAGGAAGACTTAGAAAGGTTGGATCTGCCCAAAGCCAGCCGATTTCTAGTTCCAAGCCTGTCTACACTTTCATTTAAGAAACACTGATAATTTCTTAACTCATAAGGCTCAACATCAGATTTACATTTATTCACTTTTTTTTTTTTTTTTTTTTGGTTTTGGTTTTTCTCTGGTACCGGGAACCGAACTCATGACCTTGCGCTTGCCAGGCAGGCACTTTTGCCGCTGAGCTAAATCCCCAGCCCCTTATTCACTTTTTGAGAATTATTGGCAAAAGAAATAAGACTAAAGGGTAGGAAAGAATTAAGGAGGCAATATAATTCAGACTGATTATAATGCATCAAAGAAAAGTTTGAAAATGGTGACATATACTTTTTCCTACCTCTATACCTGATGTGATATGAAAGTTCAGTTAAAAAGCAAATATTAAATACTCCAGCAGTGCCCTGTGCCAGGGTTGTGGCGGTTACAAGGGTAAAGGAGAGTCTTTGTCCTTGAAATGGCAGGTTGAAAGAGGACAAGAACTTGCAACAGTCCAACATATGACAGTCAGTTTAATCAGGTGCTGTGCAGTGTGATAAGGTCACGATTCTTTGTCAAAGTTCAGAGGGTGGCAGCACCAGGACAACGAAGAAAGGATTTGCGGAGGAGGTCTGTCTAGAATGAAGTCTAAGGATGAAGGGAGATTGAATCGATTATGACAGAGTTTACTGAGACACTGGCAGAATATTCACTAGGAAGCTGGAATTTTTCCAACAGAATCGCCCGCCTGCCTTCTTGCTGGCTGAATATTCCTTGGCTGTGGACTGAGAATATGTAGTCTTTGTCTGATTTCTAAACAAATACTGTCCCAGCCCAGCTAAGTGCTGTGATGTCCCCAATGACCTATATCTGCAGCAGCGAAATCAATCAGAGGCAGAGGGTTATTTACACAACGGATGGCTCTCTGCCTCAGGCGTTCACCGGCTTCTTTTAAGGTTGCAGGAGTGCACTTTGCTTAATGCTTGAACCTAGAGAAGTTGAAAGCCAAATACTTATTTAAATATTGATTAAGCTCAGCCCTTGAGCGAAGGCAAGAAAACTGCAGCTAGTAAGGTTACAGGTCCTCACATATAATCATGGAGAGAGTTTTACAATTACTCGTTGCGCTGGTTGGTTTCTTTTCAGTGAAGGGGTTTTAGCGTAACTTCTTATATTTGTTCCTCTTCCCACATTGCCTAATGGGGAAAAAAGGAAAAAAAGAAAGAAAAAACCCAGAAAGATCCAAAAACTGGTGCCATGAAAAAGGAGAGTAACAACAAAGGCCTCTATAGATTGCTATTTTTAACTAGTTTGGGAACCATTTTTCTGTCGTGTGTTGATTCAGTTAATCTCCAGTAGAAATTTTAATGTTGGAAGTATTATTTTGTTTGAAAATAATGTACCTTGAAGTTTTGGGAAGGGGCAGGACTTTTTTTGGGGTTGGGAGATTTGTGGAACAGAATCAGCTGGGAGGACAGTCCAAGCCCCGAGAGCAGCGCCACTGTCCGGTTCCTAGGTCAAGGGCCAGCAGCAGCCTTTGGCTGGGAGCCGAGCTCAGGACCTGGGACGCCACCAGCTTTTTGCTTCCTCAGGCTTTGTATCAGCAAGGTGGGCTGGGGCAGCAGCCAGGGCTGGGAAGGGGTGGTCAGGTGGGAAGGCTGCTCCTTTACTGGTGTCTTGGGGTCACATTGTGGTCTTCTGGAGGGTGGTGATAGGGGACAAAGCAGAAACTCGAGGTAGTTACAGAAGAAAAATGGGTCATTTTTGTCTTTACCTTTAAAGGCTCGGTAAGCATCTCCGGTAAGCATTTACGGAGGCCTGGATGGTGGAAAGCTTGCCCGATTTGGGGCTGCGCTCAGCTCTAAGTGGGAAAGCGTGCTGGAGGAGAGGAGCCCCTCACCTGCGGTTCGTCATGAAAGTGGTTACGATTTCCATAGGCTTCTGAATCGAGCCGACTTTGGCCACATGCATGCACACTCGCGAAGAGCCACAGTCTGCAGAGCTCGGGGCCAGCGGAACATCAGTCGCACGAAATGCGAGGGCGTCTGCTGGTTTTCAAATAATGCCTCCCATTGTAATAGACCTGGGCCGTATTATGTCGCGGGTGTGGTGGCTTTTGGCTGAGCACGGCCCGGGCCTCCCTCGGGCCTGGCAGAGCTCCTCTCCGGCGCGGACCGGCC